TATATATATATATATATATATATATATATATATATATTTTGAATTAATACAAATAAATTTATTATAGATTTTGCCTCATTGCATAAATTCCCTTTTATTTTTTAAACATTATACAAAACCCTTTCTATTTTTTTAATGTATAACTAAATAATGTATTGGACTCATAAATTATAAAACATGAAAGATAAATAATAAATTATATTGAAAGTAATTAAATTAATAAAAATTAGTTGAATTATATTCCATTTTTCTAAATTTAACACATAACATATCGTTCATAACATTTTTGTTGCATATAAATAAGTAGTATTTAGTTTTTGTAATACACGATATAATTTATATAATTAAAATTCATAGTAAATAAATATTTTTAATATACACAATATATTTTAAATTTATGATAAATAATTATATTGTAATTCAAGTATTGATAATTTAAAAAATATATATATCTATAATTTATTTTGCAAATAAAGATGAAAATGATATATTATAAAATATGAAAAGCTAAGAAAAAATTCCAAAAACAAGCTTTTATTGAAAACAATTATTATAATTCTTTTTATAAGAGATTATTTAATAGTAATAAATGATATCCTCCAAATTTTCAAAGAATAATGGCAATTTGATGATCCCAATGCCCACTATGTGTTGACAAACCAATGGAATGTACTTCACATGCTCTGTTGAATCACACGATACATGTATAAGTCGCATTAAATTCCAAGATTTTTAACTCTCTATTATTAATTAGTTTCATTTCAGTTTTTCAAGAAAGTGGATATTAATCTAAATGATCATATTGAATTATTATTATTATTAATTAGTTTCATTTCACCTGTAACGTGGGTCCGTTCCGTAAGGAGTAGAAGACGCATGGAGGGGAGGGGTTTTTTGTACCATTGAAGAATGAGCAGGGGGTTACGCGCCATCTCCACATGCCACGTCATTAATGCAAAACGCATTGGGGGGAGGCGCCATCTACAAAACGCCCTACCCCCTGCGTTTTCTATGCCACATCAGCTCTTACATGTCCAAAATCACCTACTTTAGTAATTCGTTTTTTTTTAATTTATTTTGTGTATTTTTTATTTTTTTTATTTATCTGGGCCAAAAAGCCTTCCTTGTTGTCATATGGGTTGCCTCCATACCTTGGGAGCTCCTCTTCTTCATAGTAGACGTCCATTTCATTGCTCTTGTTGGTCCGTACGAAATTAGGTGTCTACAACTTCCCCTCTTTACTTGTCCTTTGAAATAGCTACGTGTTGCCTTTCTAAAGGCAAGTAAAGACGTAGACATTTCGTCCGGATCTTCTATTCGTCTCTTTGGTGCTGACGCTTCTGCGATGTTTCTCTTGGATAAATGTATTTGCTCGTATTCTCGCTCTTTAGAGCAATTAAGTGTTGGTTGCGTACTCTTTTAGGTAACAAGACTAACAAACTATACACCTAATCTTCAGTCTTCAAGTAGATGTTTCATTGTTTATTTTGTGATAGTGCGTTCTTTTATTCATAGCTTGTTGAAGAGGGAGTATTATTATGGCTGACCTCTTCAGGCTTCCTACTGATGTTGAGTATTATTATAGCTGACCTCTCCAGGCTGTCTGTTGATTCTTATGATCTGATTGTCCCTTTTCTTTGGGAAGGACGTCTGATGAAGACGAGGATTGCTGGCAAGTGGTGCCTTTAGTTTGGGCTATTTTTGCCTCTTGTTGGGACGATATCAATTGGAACTTATGTTTCCCTTTTTTGCTTTTCTCGTTGAGATGCAAAAAGATGATGAATGCTTATTTATGCATGATGGTAGTTTTTGCATATTTTGAATAATTCACCTTTGATAAAGAAAGTTTTCTAAGTGTGTGAGATCCTTTTTTGAGATGCATGCGATGCATATTTTAATTTCCCCTCTTTTTAGAAGGTGACTTTTCTTTTCTCTTTCTCACGAATGGATTGCTTCGATTGATATGCAACATTAGTCATATTGGTCGTTTGGTGTATTGAGTCATCTTGGGGCTCTCCTTTTTCTTTTTGTTTAGAAACCCTAACTTTTGTCTAGGATGTATCCTAGCATATCTTTTTGCTCTTTTATTTTGCCCTAATTTTTTTCTAGGATGCCCTTTGTAGGTTTTCATCTTAGCAGGTCATTTTCATTTCCCCCCCCCCCCCTTTTTAGGACATGTTCAATTTTGACAACCATCAACAATATACGTCATTATGATTAGACAAGATAGAAAGGAAAGAAAATGATGATTTAGAATGAACGGGTGGTTGAGGTAGGTCAGTGATTAAATTTTTTAAACAAACATTTCCTTTCTCCTAATTATCTTGGACTACATGTCTAAGACTCCTTTGAGCTCGAAAATTCTCTCTCTCTCTCCCTCTTATTGTATTTCTTGAGATTTGTGAGGTATATTGTAGTGTGAAAGGTTGCCACAAAGTACCTAAAGATCTCCATATTTGAAGATTCAATAAAGCTCGTTTAAGAGGTATTTCAGTCGATTCTCCCTTCTTTTCTCTGTTCCCTTATTTCAAATATTGTTATAATAAAAACAATCATGTAGACATTTTAGGATTAACCGTGTAATTTAAATTTCAAGCATGTAAATAACAATTCATAAAGGGGATTAAATATTTAAATTATTAATTCTTACTATGCTAACCTCATCATAAGGGTACCGATTAAGGGTGTTGTAGGGGTGCTTAATACCTTCCCTATACGTAATCGACCCCCGAACTCAATTCTGGTTATCAAGGTCATTATTATCATTCTACTCAATTTATAATTGATTTATATATTTTTTGTATTTGTTGTGTTCTCGATATTATGATTTGTGATAACCTCATATGTATGTAATATGTAATATATGTAATATTTTACATTTATCAGCTTTCCTAGGGAGGTGTACTTCTGATGTGACATTACATATTCTTGATAGAAGAAAGACCAATGACACATTCAATGAGCTTGATCTCTACAGGCTTCGGTTTTGGTCCACTTCATAAAACTAAATTCAGTGTATCCAGTTCACCAGGGATTTTCATTCGAGTAGTGCAAGAGAACGGTGGACCACGTAGACTTGTGGACATTATTAGACTTGTCCCTGAGCTCTCAGAATTATTTTAGAAGTCCTTCTTGCAGAGCTCTATTTGAAGGAATCTCTTTGTTGGGTGAATTTTATGTTGCACAAACAATCTCTTTGTCATTTGGAGCTCTCAGAATTAATGATGTTATTGTTGTAGTTTTATGTGTTCTTCTCACAGAATATGTCACCAAGTTCTATTACAGCCGGCCGAAAGTTACTTTTCCAGTTGCACTCCTCAACAACCTTAAAATGGGTTTTACCTATGGACTTTTCATTGATGCCTTTAAACTTACCAGTTAATTTTTAACATCAATGCAACTACTCTAAACATTCATACTTAATTGGTTACTCTCCTAAATTGGTTTGATTCTATTTAACCACCAAACTTGTACATGTCAATACTGATCAACTTACAAACAATTAGCTAGTTTGTTACATTAAAGTTGGCTTGTTTGTGCATAATATCCATGATCGTAAATGTTAGAAGAATTATCTTT